ATTTGAACTTCAAATGCTAATAAAAAAAAATCGTGCCTATGTATTTTTGTAATTTKTTWATYACTATATGAATAACTTATGAGGAACTTTGTATTAAATTGTCGAGTATTTTGATAGGGCAGAAACATTTTATCGACACTTCAAAAAAAAATTTTCAGACAAATTGTGATAAAGATTGAAAAACTTGTAAGAAATCTTATATTAAATTTTTAAATCTTAGTTTAAAAAAGAAATTTTTTTATTAATTTCTAGCTTAAAATAATTTGTGAATTTTTGTGATTTCTACGTATTTTGTAAAAATTCAAACTTTTAATGCTTATAAAAAAAAATTGTAACTATGAATTTATTTTATTTTTCAACTGCTATTGTAATAATATGTTAAGAGCCTTGTATTAAATTTTCAAGATTTTGTACCTAAAAAATAAATTTTTATCGATTTTAATTTAAAAAAACTTATAATGATTAAAAATTGCATATACCTATGAATAGTTCAATTTAAGTCAAATTTTTTTAAAAATTTTATGGTGGATAGAACATAGGTACTTATATAAACATTCGGTGAAAATTTCATGTATCAATGGTCCATAGTTTTAAAGTTACATAAAAAATCATAATTGATTTTGTCGAAAACTAATTGTACGTAAAATTTCCTGTTTTTCCGTTAATTTTTAGTTTGTTTATCCCGATTATTTAGAAAAATATAAAGAATATTTTACTTTTGATCCCCCAAAGTATCAACTAGATTCACTTTCTGATTTAACAAGGTACTGAAGTTAAAAGTCAAAGCATTTTTACTGCCCCAAAACGTAATGATAAACACAAAAAAAATATATTCATGGTTTTGAAGAATTTTTGTCAATATTTGAACTTCAAATGTTAATAAAAAAAAATTGTGCCTATGTATTCTTATATTTTTTTATTCACTATAAGAATAACTTATGAGGAACTTTGTATTAAATTTTCAAGTATTTTGATAGGACCAAAAAAATTTTATCGACACTTCAAAAAAAAATTTCAGACAAATTGAAAATTTCAGTCGTCTATAAATATCTAAAAAAAATCAAAATATTTTGAAAATTAAATCATGGAAAGAAAATACTTATACTTTTTGAATAATAACAAATATTTAAAATCGTTTCAGGATAAATCGTTATCGTTACGCTATTTCGTAAAAATTTAAAATTCAAACGCACTTAAAATTTTTCCTATAATGATGCTTCAAGTTTTC